GGTCCGGTTGTGGGGCCTGAACTCTGGGCCTGGGCGCTGTCCCTCAGCTCTTCAGCTCAGGGCTAGCGCTCTACCACTTCAGCCACAGTGCCACTTCTGGCTTTTTTTTTCTTCTGCTTATGTGGTGCTGAGGAATCGAACCCAGGGCCTCATGCATGCAAGGCAAGCACTCTACCACTGAGCCACCTTCCCAGCCCCCAGCCAGGGATATCCTTAATACATTCAAAATCCAATTTAATTGTCTCTCAGTGTTTATTTCCTAATTTCTGAAACTGGCAGTACTATTCTTCTAGTCAATTTAAAACTGCCCTCTCTCCTTTTGTCATTTTGTCATCTAAAGTAATTATCATTTTATTTGTAAAATTCCTTAATTCTGTTTCCATGGTAACAAATCATTCCTGCTGTCATCATTTCATTTGAAACCCTCTACCTCTTGCCTGGGTGTTATAGTAGCCTTTAATTGTCTCTATCTCTCCTCTCACTATCACCTTTTTCCCAAAACAAATTGAAGGTAACTTCTCCATTGTGACCCCTACTAATAAAGTCTCAGCCTCCTTTAGGTTCTTCCAGCATTTTGTTTGACTTCTTTGAATTCCAATTTTTAACAGCTTGAGTTGTGAGACAACTGTTCTCCTGTCTTCTGTTTCCTATGAAGAGTAGTTAGTGCCTTGCATATAAATAACACTGTTCAATAAGCCTTGATTGGGATGAATTGAGCAAAGCTAAATGGTCTCTGCTCTGCTTAGAACAAGCATTCACCAGCCAACTTGCACAGGTGGAGAGGACTAGAGTAACATTCCCTTTTAACATGTGAACAGTTAAAATCAGAAAAATCAAAGCTGGAAAAATGTAGTGACATTAGTGAACTCTTAGAAAAGTTCTATGGAACGAAGTGCCAGAGGCTCAGGAGGCTGAGCTTTGAGGATTGTGATTCAAATCCAGCCCAGGCAAGAAAGTCCATGAGACTCATCGCCAGTTAACCACCAAAAAGCCAGAAATGGAGCTGTGGCTCAAGTGGTAAAGAGCTACCCTTGAGCAAAAAAGCTCAGGGACAGTACCCAAACTCTGACTTCAAACCCTAGGTCTGGCAACAAAAGAAAGAAAAAGAGAGACAGAGACAGAAAGGAAAGAACGAAGGAGAAAAGAGACAGAGGGAGGGAGAAAGGGAGAGAAAGAGAAAGAGAGAGGAAGGAAGGAAGGAAGGAAGAGAAAGGCAGGAAGGAAGGAAGGCAAGAAAGGAAGGAAGGGAGGAAGGAAGGAAGGAAGGAAGGAAGTTTGTAAGAGGCCAGAGACCCACAAGGTGGCATAGGTACCTATTAGAGGAGACAAGAGGGCATGTAGGTATGTAGCTCTAGGCATGTAGCTTTAAGTACATGGTTAGGGGTGACAGAGTTTCTTGATTCCGTGATTCATACTCTTCTAAAAATAGGGTTTTCTTCACTCTTGCTTTAAAAAGTAGCAGGCACTGGGCTGGGAATGTGGCTTAGTGGTAGAGTGCTTGCCTGACATGCATGAAACCTTGGGTCCAATTTCTCAGTACCACAGAAAAAGCCAGAAGTGACGCTGTGGCTGAAGTGGTAGAGTGCTAGCCTTGAGTGAAAGAAGCTTAGGCCCTGAGTTCAAGCCTCAGGACTGCCAAAAAAAAAAAAGTAGCAGGTGCCTAAGGAGAATCATCCCTGAATTGGCTGTACTATGTACTACTTACTGAAGGTGCTTCCCTTCAGTTGAAGGTCTAAAATGTGTTGATACAGGCTTGCTTTGAGCTTTGGGTCCTCTCATGGAGTAAAGGAGAAACGAGCTCTGAAGTCTTCAACTATTTCAAAATAACAGAGATCTTGGACTCCTGGACAAAATTGGCTTAGGATAAGAAGGAAAACAGATGCCATTTCACATATATAGAGGGCTTTGTACTGTTTTACGCTCTTTCCATTCCTGCCTCCCTTTCTTTTCTTCATCCCTCTCTCCCATTAATAGTCCTCGCCTTGCCTTTTTGGTGAATGACTGAAACTGACAGGACCAACTTGCTGGACCACTGGTTAAATCTGTGCCCTCTTCTTTTTGTCCACAGAGCCATGGGGGTGTTGATGTCCAAACGGCAGACAGTAGAGCAGGTACAAAAGGTGAGCCTGGCTGTGTCTGCCTTCAAGGATGGGCTGCGGGACAGGCCTTCCATTCGGCGCACGGGTGAGCTATCAGGGTCCCACCGTGGCACAATGGAAGGCTCTGTCCAGGAGGTACAGGAGGAGAAAGAAGCAGAGGCAGGCACTCCATTGGTCCAGGAAGAGAGCAGTGTCAAGCGTGCAGCCTGGGAGCGGCTCAGAGATGGGCGTGGAGTAGAGCCTGAAGAGTTTGATAGGACCAGTCGATTCACACCTCCTGCTTTTATCCGCCCCACCCGGAAGCTGGATGATGACAAGCCTGCAGACATCGTCTTGGAGCCCAGAGAGCCTGTGAGTGTTTAGTTAGAGAAAAGTGTTATACTCCTAGTCTTTCTGAGGATCAAGGAACAGGAGGACAAGGAGAGCTGATTGTGGTTGAGGTGAAATTCAAAAGTGGGAAGACAGAGTTGAATGCAGAACAGTCTTTAATTTTGTATTCACATACATGAGGGGGTTCACTGAGACATTTCTGCACATGTATGCCACTATACAGTGTATCCCAATAATCTTCAGGTTTTGTTTTCCAAAAGAGCAATGAGGATGTGGCCCCCAGGTAAAGTGCTTGCCTTGCATGTACAAATACTGCAAAAACATTTCCATCAGAAGAGTATTATTTACATCTTGGATTAGTTATAGTGAAAGTCCCGTGGGGTGGTGGGTAATTAAGAATGATAACATTTGTCCGGCATGGTGGCTCACACCTGTAATCCTAGCTACTAAGGAAGCTAAGATCTGAGGATTGCGGCAGGAAAGTCCATGAGTCTTTTATCTCCAATAAACCACCAGAAAACCAGAAGTGGCGCTGTGGCTCAAGTGGTAGAGCATTAGCCTTGAGCTGAAGAGCTGAGGGACAGTGCCCAGACCCAGAGTTCAAGCCCTAAGACCGACAGAAAAAAAAAATGATAATGTGGTAGGTCTTCTGCTGACTTTCCCATCCATGGATGCTCAACTACAGATAGTTGAGGTGGTTGGAAATTTAAGAGGGAATTTAGGCAGGTCACATTGGGGGTTCATATTGGTGCTAAGAAACTAGAAACGCTAAATGTACTACAATGCCTGAGATGCACTAGAAGGGCCTGAGCAGCTAGAAGAGCCATCTGGTTTATGTCCACTAGGAAGAAAACTGTCATTTTAACATTACTTCAGTTGAAACTATTCCTCTAGGCTATTTCAGGGAGGTTCATTCCCATGTAAGTAGCTCTATGTTAACTGGCCATAGATTCTTGTTCCCTGACTTTCCCATCCCTATTTACTTCTGCCATCTTTCACCAGGTTGTCAATGATGAAATGTGTGATATCTGCGAGGTCTGGACAGCTGAGAGCCTCTTTTCATGCAGAGTCTGCACCAGAGTTTTCCATGATGGCTGCCTACGCCGCATGGGCTATATCAAAGGAGACCGTGCAGCGGAGGTGATGGAGATGGCTCACACCGAAACAGGCTGGAGCTGCTACTATTGTGTGAGCCTGGATTTCGGGACAGTGGGCTGTTGCACGGCAGAGTACTTCTCACTTTTCTTGGAGGCCCAGTCTTATAACACCTGCTCTAATGTGTTCTAGGGCCCTAGAATTAAGATGGGTTTCTCAACTCAGTTCTATTGACATTTAGGTTTAGATAGATCTATCTTCTGGGGAGCAAGGTGCATAATATGATGTTTAGCAGCATTTCTGGTCTTTATAATACTAGATGCCAATGCCAATATCACACACCCAAAAATGTCTCCAGACATTCCTAGATGAATTGTGGAGACAGAAAAATCATCCCCAGTTGAGAACCATGAAGTGAAGGGGGCGGGGGAGTACACTGGATAGAATGGGGCCTACTTGCTCAAAAGTAATTCTGCTTAGAACAGTGTTTTCTCTAACAGCCCTGTAGTTGTCATTCACTGTACTCAGCTGAGAAACCAACCTGAAGTCCTAACCAACTTGCTTCAAATGGGAATAGAGTCCATCCTGATCCCTACTTGCCTTTAGAAGCATTTGCTGTTTATCTCTGAAGTGATTTGTTGTTGTTAGTTAGTTACAGGGCTTGAACTCAGGGCCTGGGAGCTGTCCCTGGGCTTTTCTGCTCAAGGCTAGTGCTTTACCACTTTGGACTGTTGCTCTACTTCCTGTTTTCTGGTGGTTAATTGGAGATAAGAGTCTTACTGGATTTTCTTGCCTGGGCTGACTTTGAACCATGATCCTTAGCCTCCTGAATAGCAAGAATTACAGGCATGAGCCACCAGCACCCAGCTTCCTGAAGTGATCTTTAAGCTTTGATTCAGAACTTTTCAAATTATATATAAACACCTTCCAACTTTTTTTGTTTGCTTGTTTTTCATGAGGCCTGAACTCTGGGCCTGGGTGCTGTCCCTCAGCTCTTCAGCTCAAGGCTAGCATTCTACAACTTGAACAACAGCGCCAATTCCAGCTTTTTTTTTTTCTGCTTATGTGGTGCTGAGGAATCGAACCCAGGGCCTCATGCATGCGAGGCAAGCACTCTACTGCTGAGCCACCTTCCCAGCCCCATCCTTCCAACTTTTAACAGAGGACAGAATCTAAGGTTTCATTGAAAGCCAGATACATAATCATTTCTTATCTTACCTGAAGGAAATGTAGGTATTTTTTTTATCTATTATCGTGCATAGCTCTTCTGATTTCAGTGTAAAGAGCATCTAATGACCTCCTTCTTCTTCCTTCTGTCTGTTAGAAAAACCCAGAAATTTACTACTTTCTAACTCTTTCCCTGTGGCTTGCCCATTAAAATGAAATCTAGACAATTATTTTCAGATACTTAAACATTTCTTCCTAGAGTACACCACAGCAAATCCTGCTCTACAGATGACATTTTCTAGTATCAATCACCCCTTGTCCTGGGATGCCAACCTTTTATCTCACAGAAACTCTGCTCTTCAGTGTGCTACCATTGTGAGACTGAGTTACAGACATATCCTTCCTATCCCCCAGAAATACACTGTTCCCTCTGGGCTTCCTGCTAGAATCCTGCATCTTTCCCACCACTCCACTAGGCTTTTTACAAAGGCTTCTTCCTTCTTTCCTTCCTTTCACAATCAGGCCGCTTCTACTGCTCTTCTTTTTCACCTTTTTCTAGTTTGTTTTGTGCCAGTACTGGAAGCTTGAACTCAGGGCCTTCTGCTTTTGCTTAGATTTTGCCTCTCAAGTGCTGGAGCTCTACCACTTGAGCTACACCTCCACTACTGGCTTCTTGCTATTGAATCAAGATAAAAGTCTTGGGGATTTGCTACCTGTGCTGGCTTCAGACCTTGACCCTCAGATCTGCATCTTCTGAATAGCTATGATTATAGGCATGAGCTACCAGCAGTGTCCAACTTAGAATTAATTTTTTAACTAAAATACTCTTTGAGCACCAAGACAGAAGCCAGGTACATAACAATGAATGAAGATGAAGTTGCCCTGGTTGATGGAGAGGAGTTTTACAACCTTGCCTACTCAGTAGTCCCTGTCCCCTGCAGCAGGTTCCTAAGGCACTTTCAAGCAATCCTTAGGCCAGAGACCCAGCAGTTGTCAGGATGTCTGAATTCTGGGCAAGATTCTGTCCCAAAGTTAGAAACAGTGAACAAGTCTCTTCTCTTCTCTGGGGCCTAAGTCTCCTTGCTAGTGGGTGGGAGGCTGGGATCCAGTGATCTCGAGTAGCTTTTCCATTGAAATTTCCATGTCGGTTGATCCTTGGCTTTTCTTTCCTGTGTGACTCAGCTCTATTTTTTTTTTCAGGACAATCTCAACTTGCTGCTTACTGAGGAGGAAATGTACAGCCTCACAGAGACCTTTCATCAGTGTAAAGTCATCCCTGGTAAGGCTGGCCTTACCAGGAGGGCAAGGGACCAGATTTTCCCCTCATCCTTTCAAGGATGAACATGAAAAGTATATTCTGAGATTTGGGGAGGATAGGATAAATAAGTATTCTGGAGTTGTTGGCCATCAGTTACCCACCCACACCACAGTCAGAGCTACATTGGCTATATGACTAGAGATACGTGTGTGGAAAACACTGAGGGTGCCCCAGAGTTGGTACAGGTGCCCAGAGTTGAGGAAGGGTGGGCATGGCCAGCAAGGGTGATTTCCACAGATTGCTCCCTGATGCTGGAGGACTTTCTGCGCTACCGCCATCAAGCAGCAAAGCGGGGGGACAGTAACAGGGCCCTGAGTGATGAGCAAGAGGAGCAGGCAGCCCGCCAGTTTGCAGCTCTGGACCCTGAACATCGAGGCCACATAGAGTGGTCTGACTTCTTGTGCCATGAGTCCCTCCTACTTCTGCAGCGATTGCGTCCCCAGGTGAGGGGCAGCTGGGGTGAAGGTCCATGGGTTACTGGGTGACAGAGGCCTGGGAAGCATGCTGGGCAGGTTGGTGGAGTCCTGGGAACTATATAAACAAGAGCGGGTATTAGGAATTGGGATTAAGTTCTACTCAGTGACAGATGATCAGTGCCCTGGCTGGGGAAACTGCCTGACGAAGACTAGCTTGCACTGGACTCCCTTGAAAATGCTGGCGCTACCAAGAAGGCTCTGGGGACTTCTGAGGGAGGTAGCAGTGGTTAGGTAAATAGAAGTCAGAGTCTCTAAAGCTTAACGGTTTACAAGATATTTTCACCTTCAAGATCTTAACTTCTGTCTTCTCCAGAATTCTCTGTTAAGGCTTCTGACAGTCAAGGAGCGGGAACGAGCCCGTGCCACCTTCCTGGCACAGAGCCGTGGAAATGCCATCAGTGAGGCAGAATGCCGCCGCGCCCAGCACTCTTGGTTCTGCAAACGTCCCACAAAAGCTCCTTCTTGCACTGTCAGGTGTGCTCCTTAGCAGTCCCTTCCCCACTCAGCCTTCCTCCTCCTGTTTGCATGCTGGTAATTCTGAGTGTGAAAGACGCCTTTGTGAACAGCCAGAAGATTCCTCCGTGCATCAGGCAGAGCACTATTCCTGTTAGCCAAGACATAAGGCGCCTCTACTCTAAATTCTGTTGCTCGGTGTCAAAGACCCTGAACACATATATTCAGAGCTATAGGTTCACTAAAATTTGGGAAGGGTTAAGCCTTTCACTGCCCTACTCCTAACCACATCCTTGTGCCCAACAGCATCAGCCATGTGGGCCCCATAGCAGATAGCAGCCCAGCCAGCAGCAGTAAGAATCAAGATAAGGTCATGCTGCCTGCAGAACAGGAGTCCAGGTGAGTGGAACCTTCTTACCTGACTGGCTGTATCTTCTGTCTCCCTAACATACACTGATAACTAAGAAATGGACTCCTCCTCTGCACCTCCAAAATAGCAAGCACGCACTCCAAAATGTAGGCTCAAAAGGGCCAAGCCGCTGACCCACTGTCTTGGTAGCACGGTCAATAAGTCAGGCATGAATCAAGACTTCCTTGAGCTTTATCTAGGCCAAGTCTCACACTCTGCCTCACAAATGTGCTCTCTACTCCTGCAGGTCTGTGGACTGGCCCACCTTCCTGAGAGAGAATGTCATCTATATCTTAGCTGCTCGCCCCAACAGCGCAGCCATTCACCTGAAACCCCCAGGATAGCCTGGCGCAGAGAGGCTTGTTTAAGGATGGTGGCATCTTCTCCCTTCTTTCCTTTCTTTCTTTCCTCTACCAACTTCTGGCACTGAGACTCATGGGGATGGGGCGCTGCCAGTATCTTAATTTGTCATTAAGTTTTATGGCATTGAAATCACCATTCCCCTCACCACAGAGGCAGTAAGTGCATTGCCACAGAGAGAATCCTGAGGCCTGTGCAGCATCTGCTCTAGACCGTCTCACTCCCCCCCACCCTCACATCACACGCTAACTCTGCCACCACTCACCTACATGTGTGCACACACATGTCTGCATACATGCAGACTTCAAAAGCCTGGTTCTTTTTAAGTTGTAAAAAAGGACCAAAGTCCCTTTATGAAACTTCTGGTATAGATGAGGGGGGTGGTTCTCTACTCATTCCTTCTATTGGCCAGTTCCAGTTTCAAATATATCAGATTCTGGCCAAGTGATTCTTAATAAAGGAGCATACCAGACTCACGTTCCTTCCTGGAAATACAGACAGGCCCCTCTGCCCACATTGAAAACCCTCTGTGGTGAGCCACTGTTGGTAGTAAATGTATGCTCCTCTGATACATTGTGCTGGGGAAAGAGTGGAAAAACCATCACTGCAGTTTAACTCATATTTAAATTCTAACTCCTAATGGCAGAAAAGGCAATAGCTTCCGGAACCCTAACTGGAAAAGAGAGAGGCAGCCTCACCCAGAGACCCACCTCTCAGCTCAGTCACCTGAAGTCCAAAAGTCTTTAGCAGAACAGTCAAAAACAAAGGTGAGCCTTCTTGACCCGTTTTCCACGTCGTAGTTCATGGGTGAAAGCCCAGGGGACTTGAGTGGAATAAATACAGGGGCAGGAGTCGCAGCCCACCGTACTGAATGCTTCACTGAAGTCAGCCACCACAGAGCCAATCTAGGTAAGGTCTTCATGAGAAGAAGAGAGGACAGGAATCATGCTTTTCGTGGTTCCAGCTCATCTCAGAAAAGGGTGTGAAAAACAGAGCCAGCCTCTTCCACAGCCCAAGAGAGAGCAGCTCTGCAGAAGCCTTAAGAAGGAGCTCCTTTCAGTCATCCTGACAATGAGGCTAGGAGACAACTGGAGCTTAAGAAGAGGATTTGCATCTCAACTGTCTCACACAGAAGTCACAGGAAAGCCTCACAGAAAGAGGAAGGTTCTTTTCTCCCTGTCACTGAGATGTGGCCTCAGTTGCTGCTTCTCCCTTGTTGCTCACTACATATTCTTCCCCATCCATGCTGGGTGTAGCATGGGAGGACTTTGGGGTCAAGCTGAGGATGCCAAAAGTACACCAAGCTTGACCTGCAAGCTTCAGCTCTCCTCCAGTTCTCAAGTCAGTGCATGGTATGGGTATACCCTGACACCAGAGTCTACATTCTAGGTTTCTGTCTCCAACTAAATGACTTGGACACAGCCAGATCTGACTAATAAGACTTACTAAAGAGGGCATTGGGCTCAGCCCATGCAAAAGCTAACATATCTCCATTGCTCAAGGCACTTGCACTAAATTGAGTACTTACAGAACAAAGAGCATACCACTCAATGTTGAGATGTTCGGAGAAAATAGGGAGTAAGAGCCCTATATATTCTTCTTTAGGAACAACCTGACCTAAAAGCAAGGTGATAAGCTGCTAGAGACGTTATATTTAGGACTGCAGTGAAGCAGAGGAGACAAATGTGGGTCCATATGAAAGGCTCTGAACATTTTTAAATCATAGGGGTTTTTTTCATTTGTCTTTGTTTTTTTTTATTGTTTTGTTTGTGTGTGTGTGTGTGTGTGTGTGTGTGCCAGTTCTGGGGCTTGAACTCAGGGCCTGGGCACTGTCCCTAAGCTTTTTTGCTCAAGAGTAACAATCTCCCACTTGAACCACAGCTCCACCTCTGACTCCTTGGTAGTTAATTGGTGGATAATTAGACTTTCCTGCCCAGGTTGGCTTTGAACCATGATCCTCAGATCTTACTTAGCCTTCTAAGTAGCTAGAATTACAGGTATGAGCCACCAGCGCCTGGCTGCAGTACTTTTTAAAATACTTCTCAGCCATACTCCCAGGATTGATCTGTGTGTGAATGTGTGTAGAGGAAGAGGAATTATTGAATCTAGTCAAAAAGAAAAAGAAGAGAAAAGAAAAAAGAAAGCGTATAGCACCTGGGTTTAAGGACTATATCTGAAGCAGCCAGGCTTGGAGTTGTATACTGAGAAGACTAAATCATATTATATACCAGGGCTCTGGTATCACAGTCCTGATAAGTCTCCCTCCATACCAGTGACAATGGGGTCCTGGATCTCACAGACAAGACATTTTGAATACAGTCAATCTCTGGGCTTTACATCAGTCCTGCCTTTACATCAGTCACAGGGACTAAAATCCTTCTTGCTCCTTGATACTTCATAGACCAAGGTGATGTCTATTGCTCTGGAACTGCTGCTTCTAGTTCTCTGAGGGTGAGTGGTGGTATACTGTAGACTGGATCAGGCTGGCTGTGTCCCAGGCCCTGAAGAGTAGGCCCTGGAGTTCTTCAATAATGGAAGCAAGGCTACTTGGCATCACCTGTCTCTCTTCCCAGTGCAGAAAGCTTCCTGGAGTGCTGCAAAAGGTTCAGGGGACACTGCCATCAGCAAAGAATGGAGTTCTCGATGCACAACAGTGCTAGAAATCAGAAAAGCACAGAGGATCAGCCAGTCTTTTCTCTATAAACATTTAGCTTTTGTCAAAAGGAGGGCCATTGCTCCCCAGAGCTGCAGAAATACCACCTAACCCCTTTTCTAGAATTTCCCTTTGCCATGTCCTAATCCTGAAGCCCCTATGCAGTATTAATGGATATACACTTTTATGAACCTAGTTGGGCCTATCCCTTTGTAAGCCTCTCCATCACTGTGTCTGTCTGAAATTCTGCCAAGTACAAAAATTAATGACTGGCTATAATAGAGTATGAGAAAAATCGTCAGTCTTTTCCTCTTGGCTGCTGAAAATTGAGATCAGTGCTTTCCCAAGCACCACTTGCCTCAACCTCCAATCAATGGAGACTTGGGTTACACGTAGACTCCTCTCAAGACCTCTTACCATAAGCCTATTTTTTCATGCCCATCTTCTTCTCATTCAGATTAAATAAAGTGTATCTGCATGGCATGACAGATTGCAGGGACAGGGTCACTGAGGGAGCTGCTGTGGCCACATTACTTCTCCAGGTCTGCCCCTTGGCTTCCTCTCCTGAGATCATCCTTCCCAACAGAACATTTGAGCATGGTACCCCAGTTTTCCCACTCCTAAGTACTGATCCAGCTCTCAAGTGCTCTTCCTTTGAGGATAGCTGTAGCAGAAGCCATGAAAATATTGCCTCTTTCTACCCTCCACCCAAGCAGTGGGCTGGCAGGGCAGACACCTGCTTATCTCTGGCCATGGTGCTCCCTATAGGAGGTCATCCTGGCCTAGGTTAAGTGGCCAATTCTTGGGGTTCCCCCCACTTCTATCACCAATATAGAAAGCACAGAATCAAACTGCCTGGAAAGAGGGCACTTCTACTGGGGAGTAAGCCCCAAGAGTGTGTCTGTGCCTCTTAGCTCAAAGCACAACTTCAGCTGTTGCAGGCATCACAGTTAAATGGGACTGGTGCCAAGAAGCCCTAAAGCTAAGAGGTTCAGCAGAAGCCGTTGAGAAGGGACAAGGTCAGCCAGGACCACTCCAGAGCCAAGAATAACATAGGCAGCACAAAACTAGTAGCAAGCTTTAATGTTCCTCCAGGTATGTCCCCCTCAGACCAGCAGGGTAGAGGCAGATACATAGCCATGCACTACCTAATCTGTGATATAGTCTGAGAACTGTGTCATTAGGCAATTTCTTCATAGTTCAAATATCATAGCATGTAGTTACACAATACTAACACAGCTGTGGTGGGACTACATCAAATTCGATCCATTGTTGGTTAAAATGTCATATGTCGTGCATGACAGGTCTGTACTTGGCATTGGAAGGCAGAACAGCCTTCATGCCAGAATTTCAGGACATCCTGTAATAATCGTCCCTTTTTAACCCACTAGTAACAGTGGAATAAAACTGGTACTTTCTCCTTGCCATTTAGTTTGAATTTGCCTAGGATATTTGTCTGGGCCACTGGCTAAGTCCAGAAAACATAGATTTCCTTGAGTGAATGTTACCGGTGTATCATGCTGATTCCTAACAGCCTAATCCTGAAATTAGATGGGCAGTTCTCCACTGTTGCTTTCTTGCTACCCCTATTTTTGGCAACCCTGAAAAAAAAAAAAGAAAAATGAACAGGTTATAGACCAACACTAAGGAAAAGTTACTTCCTTCTGGGAGTGATGCAAAGCATGGAAAAGAGGGTCATTTCTCATCTGGACTAATGACTAATCAGCTCAATCATATTCCAGCTTGTATGTCATTGGATTGGTCTTTCCATACCCAGGATGAACAAAGGCCTTCAGACTTAACTTCTAGTTGTTGTGGGATAGCTATGACCTGTCTTCCAGTCAAGCACATGCTGGGGTAGGTGGAGCTGAGAATGCTCAAATAACAGGGAGAATCTCCTGCCCTCTGGTTTCTCAGGCCCTTCCCATGTACTTTTCTGCAGAAGGTAAGGACAGAAAGCCGAGGGGAATGTCCCCATGCCTGTCTCATCTACAGCTGCATGTTCCTCCCTGTGGCTCAGCCTTCACTGTACTCCAAGAAGGAGCTCCCAGAGGCTGGGCATAGCAGAAATCATAATAAAGAGATTGTGATGCTATTTCTGATTTTTCTGTGGTTTTCCTTCATTGGCTCATTTCTGGGTCTGCAGATAAGTCAGGCCACTGTGGCATCCAAGGACATAATGCAACTGTGGCTCTCTTTCTAGAACTTTCTTGACCCTGCCCTTCCTAAGAGTCAGGTGATAGCTGTGTCTAGGGGGCACCACACATACAGATAAAGTTTCAGCTATCTTTGTATCAACCACAGGTACAGAAAGTGAGGGGCTCTTAAGGA